ATTCATTTATTTCTTTTTAATATAATTTTTTCATCTATTTTTGCAGAAGTTGTTTAGAGCTCCCCGACGCCGTACGAGGAGGCGCTGGACTGCTTATCCTTGCTGGTTGCATCAGCGTTGGCCTAATGTTTGATTAGTTAAAAGGCAAGTTAACCCCTTTGCAAGATTTTTTGCCTAAAGATTTGATTTTGATACATGGGTTTGGTTTTTATTAGTAGATATTGGATCTTGAAGAACCCATTTCGCAGTTGAATGTGATTCCTGTATCTGGTACTAGATTGTAATTAGAGTTCTACTTGCACTATTCCGGAGTCAATTTTGAGAAATTGCGGGTTTCGCGCTGGATTGTTCGCTTCACGTCACTTGAATAGATGGGTAATTCTTCATAAATTTCCCTCATGATTATGAAACTTTATGTTGGTTGTTGCACTAAAGAAATTTGTTGCAAGGGGACCTTTGTTGAAGATATAACAAATCCTGACATGACAACACGTATAAGTAACAAAAATAATAATCGCTTTTGGATGAATATGATATACCCTAAAACAAAAACATTTATATATCAATTCTTTGGCCTGGTAACAATAAGCTCATTCCATCTATAGATGCATTTTTTGCATATATCATGACTTTTGGAGCAAATCACAAGTATAAAAGTGAAAAAAGTCGTAGAACAACGGGAGCTAGTTTTCCTATGCCGTTTTGGCTAGCAAGCTTTCTCTGGTCTGCTGCCTTCTTTGCATGGAACCTCAAGTCAAGCATTGTGCTGCAAATTATAATTATTTCAAAATTCATCAGACATGAAAGCCCAACATATAATAATACAGAAACAAACCACTCTGGATACAACAAAGATTTCTTGCTTCTCCATTTATATAAATAACGCTCACATCTATATTACCCAAGAAAAGAGCCAAGCGGTTGCACTGGTAATCACTGGAAAAAAGATAAAATATTCTGGACCAAGATTCAATTGTTAAGAACTACTACTGAAAAAGATCAAATTTTTACCTAGAAACCATAGGATCAACCATAATCTGAGGAGCCCAGATGAGTATCATCACAAATCCCATAACCAAACAGCCAGTCTCCTCTGCTGCTGTTTTGAAAAGAACCCATCTTAAGAAGCCCTAAAAAATTCCCAGAAAAAGCTACGATATTTCAGAAATTGTGTGAAGACAAGATGGTTTAAGGGGATTGGGTCCTGCTGAGAGCATGAACTCGATGATGGAGATTGCTTCTATCTTTGGGGTTGGTTTCATCAATATTGTAATTTGTAAGTGATTTAGGTTATATTATTATTTGTGTTATTGAATTTGGGAGCACCGTTTGAGATGAGATGGAATTTTAAATTGTTGAATGGAACGCGGGACTAAGGTAAGTTGGGTATCTTATTCTCTGTAGTTGTGGAGAATGGTATTTTGGCTTTTGTTAAAGGAGAGAAATTGGAGTGGGGATAGTGGTATTTTGGCTTTTGTTAAAAGGAGAGAAAATGGAGGGGAGATAGGTATGAGTATCTTTGAAGGAAGGTGTGTGAATAAAGTCATGGTTTTTAAGGAGAATAATTTCTTTGTGACTCCTTTTTCCAGCGTTTCAAGAAAGAGGTTCCCCTCTGTGCTTCACAAAACAACATTAAGCTACATATTTTATATTTCAGTGATTATGAGTTCTATAAGAACAGCACACGTGCAAAGCGGATCCTTCTGATCTGCGCAAGACACGGCCGAAGGTGCCTACAACTTTTCCCTTTCCTCGATTTGCTTCAATCTTTTCTAAACTTAATTTTCCTCGAATTTTTCAGAGATTGTGAAGAGCACAATGACCCCGTACAAGGAGGCACTGAATTGCTTATCCTCGCTGATTATTCCACGGACTCGTGCTGATGCATCTACGATCCGCTTCGACCTGATGTTTGACTATTTGAAGGCAAGTTAAACCCTTTGGAAGGTTCTTTGTCTAGAGATTTGGTCTTGATACATGGGCTTGGTTTCAATTAGTAGATATTGGAGCTGGAAGGACCCGTTTCACAATTGAATGTAATTCATGTTGCCGGAACTAAAGGGAAGGTGAGTATCTTTGAATTTGTGATTTTTATTTTTATTTTTTTTATTTTTTTGGGAATTTTGAGATTATAGTGGTTGTTGTTGTAATTAGGGTTCTACTTGCACGTTTGTAGAGTCGATTTTGAGAAATTGCGGATTTCGGACTGGATTGTTCACGTCGCCGCACTTGATTGATGTTAGGGAGAGGTTCAAAATAGATGGGTAATGCTTCATTATTTTGATGCAATATGGTTCTCATTGCGGAGTTCATTTCATGTTAGTTTTTAGTAGTTATTATTATTATTATTTTCAGAGTGGAAATTTCTCAGGAGAAGTTCTTGACAAACTTTTGGTGGTGTTGGAATAGATTGCGGGTAACATGCATATAGTTGGTGCATTCTTCGGTTTTCATGTGTGGTCTACTTTGATCTTTCTATTTCAAGGTCTTGTTCTTTTCATGTCTCGTGGTCTTGTTGAACTGGTGGATCTTGGGTCTACTTCGTTTGATTTTTACAGGAGAAAACCAATGATGATGTACCCATGCCATTCCATGTCTGTTTCCTTGCATTGCTTGCATTCAAGATATTTTCCGTTGAAAAGGTAAAATGCGTTTAGTTGTCAACAAATTGTGTGAATACCCTATCAAACCCTCGAAGGTCGAGAATGAGTATCCTGTTCCAAGCATTTGAACATAATGTAGATGCTAATCGTGTTTCTTCCATGAAATAGGTGGATGTTGCTATCTTGGAAGTTGGTCTCGGAGGAAAATATGATGCAACTAATGTGGTAACCGTTTCATACTTTGTGATTTTTCCAGATTGAACTTTGAAGTTTATGATTCTGTTCAAGTTGACGATTATCCGTCTTAGCATGCTTTGAAATGCATCTGAGAGCTGAATCTATTATATAGGTCTCGTATAAGTACAAATCTATTTGATTTTTGTTGCAATGATTTTGACAAAAGTTCTTCTAATTTTCCATCTTTTTGCAGGTGAAGGCACCTATTGTTTGTGGAATATCTTCCCTGGGCTATGACCATATGGAGATATTGGGTCAGTTATCTTTCAAATTGTTTCCGTTGATAAATGATAGAAATGGTGTCCAGCTGAAATTTTGCCATTGAGAAGAATTCAGATTGAGCATGGTGTTATTCTCTACAGGAAATACATTGGGACAGATTGCAGGAGAGAAAGCTGGCATCTTCAAGGTTTCGACCCTTTTTACTTTATTTTTGCAGAAAAGTATCTAACTCTTGATGCTAAAATAATGTTTCTTGTTGTTGCTTAAAACAGCAAGAAGTTCCAGCATACACCGTGCCTCAGCCAGAAGAAGCAATGTCTGTGCTCAGGGATCAAGCTTCCCACTTAAGTGTAAGTTCAGTGTTCACCATAGGATTACAAACACCAAAGGTTATCTATTTAAACCATTAAGTAGTACTATCTGCTCCAATTTTACAGATTCCCCTTCGAGTTGTCTCACCTTTAGATACAGAAATACTGAAGGATCAGCAACTTGGACTTCACGGTGAGCATCAATATCTAAATGCAGGCCTTGCAATTGCCTTATCAAAAAGTTGGCTTCAAAGAACCGGGCATGAAGAAAGTATTTTTCTCAATAATACAGTAAGTATTATTTTCAGGTTTTAATTTGGATTCCGTCAATTTTGAACTTTTTTTATCAACTGATATCAACGATACAAATAGCAGAATACTTTACCAGAACAATTTGTTAGGGGGCTCACAATGGCCAATTTGCCAGGCCGGGCACAAATTATCTCTGACCCCAGTTTTGAACAACTAGTTTTCTATTTGGATGGGGCACATACCCCAGAAAGTTTGGAGGTGTGTGGGAAATGGTTCTCTAGTGTTGTCAGAGAAGAAACTCAATCAGCTAAAAGTTGCAAATCTGAACAGGCACGAGTTCTCTTTTAGATTTGTTTCACCTTTTTTTTGACGGGTTTAGTAATTTTCTTTGGGCGAATATTGCAGATACTTCTATTCACTTGCTTGTCAGTTAGGGACCCTCGGCTTCTGCTTCCGCCCCTAGTAAATAGTTGTGCGAGTCATGGTGAGTTTCATGACGATACACACTTGTCATTGGTTTGGTGCGCATTTTCTATATCATTTTCACTCTGTACATTCATGACTACTATTTTGATGTAATTGAAATGTGGTTATATATTTCAGGGATCCGCTTCACAAGGGCCCTTTTTGTACTGAATCAGTCCGCGTATAATATGTTTGGTGCACACGCAACAACACAAGATGAGCCACAAGTTGATGTTTCATGGCAACTGACACTTCAAAAAGTTTGGGATAACCTTATTCATGGGGGAAAAGGTATAATTGAACATAATAATGTTTCTTCTTAGCCACAATGAAGTGGTTTTTTATTTAATACTGTTACTGTTTATGATCATGATGAGGACTTGACAATGATGAGCTCTTGAATGCTTCTGAAGGTAAAAAACAGGAAGAGCTGAATACTGCAAAGGGTGATGAGAGTAGTTCAGTGTTTCCTTCACTCCCTTTAGCCCTTAACTGGCTCAGGGAAAATGCTCAACGAAATAAATCGATTCGTTCTCAGGTATATATAAATAGTATCTTGCCACTTTATTTCAAGTACTAATACTGTAATGTTCACAAGGTAAAAGAGAATATGCAAAAAGAAAAGAAAAATGAATAAATGTGCTATTTTGTTTGTTTCTTATGTTATCAAGGAATAGTATACTGACCTAATAATATGTTATTACGTAAATATCCCCTCTTAACTGTTTATGTATTTTTGTGTATTTAGCATATATTGTCTCTATTTCAGGTCTTGGTCACTGGTTCTTTGCACTTGGTTGGGGATGTTTTGAGATTGATCAAGAAGTGATACGAACTCTTTGAATCGATCAAACTGCAGTCCTTCGATCAGGGCACCATGGAGCTCACATCGATCAATCCTTTCTATTTTTCCGTAAAACCCGACAATAAATCCTTTTCGGTCCTATATATTGTAACAATAGCTGAATATGATCATCGTTAATGTTTGAGACGGGCTATCAAATTAAAAAGATCTTGTAGCCTAATAATTTGAGTATATGGGATTTACTAGTTTGTGGTCATATCTATCATCATGCATGTTGATGTTGTGTCCGTAGCAAGTAATGGATTGGTCAATGAATCAATAATGAAAATAATGAGTATGAAGTGATGGCTCATTTTGCTAAATGAGCTATTAAAGATATAGCTATTTGATGAGGTCCGTCTTGTTGGTCACATCTCAAAAGGTGCGGGCCAAGTTTCTCTGTCTCGAGCAAAGTGTTAAGACATAATCTTTATTGCGTTTGAACCACCTCCAATAAACACCATAAAAATATTGCATTTGAAACCACCGTCAATAAACACCATAAAAATGTTGATACGACGAAACCTTTCCTCTAAACATCCTCAAAAAAGAGAATGCAACTTCACTCCCTTCTTCATTAAACCACACATTCTCTCAGTAAATTTAATCTTATTGCGTACAAATAATATTATATTTTCCTCAAGATTATCTGTAGTTTTTTATTCGACTTTTTAAGTGATGTGCACCGTCATCATGTGCTAGCCTCTAACCTCACCCATCCAAAGCCCATGGTGGCTTGTGCTAGAGTAGTGTTATATACTTATATGCTTTTAAACATCCAATACATTTTTATTGAATATTAATTAAATTTTATTGTTGCACATGTTGTTTGGGTATCTAATATATAATTGTTATTCTATCATTAGAAATTATTTTGTTAGATCATGCACTGTGATGGTCACTTGCTTGGAGATATGATCTAATTCAGAGGTTTCTTAAATTTGTGCTTAACCTATAACTAATAAAGGATAGCTTTGTCATAACAGGTTATTATGCATGACAACGACATATGAGATGTGATGGTTGATCTCTGCCATCGGGAATGAAGATTCCATGGGTGTATGTCATAAGCACATATTTGATATGTGTAGCACAAGACCTTATTTGGATTCTCTAGGACGAGTCACCTAAGAGAGAGAGAATTCGAATTGTTATATGGTTCCTTAGACTTGATAATATTATCATTTTCGATTTGTTAATTTAGTATACTTTGATATGATGGTTAAACTTGTTTTACAAGTGCTATACAACCTGAAATGTTACGTTACTAAATTTTATTTAGGGAAATGATGGATATCTAGACAGGATCCAGTATACTCATTTTTTATGAATTAATTTATAATGCATATCCCATGAAGATATTAAATTCTCGTCGACGGGTAGTTTTTGAAAATTATTTTTATAAATTTATTTTCTTATAAAATAAATTTTTTATGCTTTAAAATAATTTTATTTATGTTCATGAGATTTTAATTTTAGGAATGAGCAAATAGGTGATTTGTCCTGCTCAATAAAGTTGCCTAAAATAAATTGATACTTGAAAGAACTGAATGTAAGATAATATTATTCACGAATATTTAATGCCATATTATGGAAGAGCTTTTATGAACAGCTGGTCGGATAGGGATTTGATTGTTAAATTAAAATTATTAATTTGATTAATAATTGGTTCTCGATATGGGACTCAATCAGTCTCACTGATGTCATTAGAAGAGGTTTACATGTAATACAATTCTATTTCTATCCTAATTGTTATGGAAACAATATTCTATCTCTAAATGTTATGGATAAAGTTTTAAACAATTAAGAATTGTTTTGAAATTGAAATCTATAAGGCAGGTTCAATCCTAGGACTCATATGTAGCCTTATGTAGTGAAGAGAAAAGAAAGAAAAAGGAAAAGGAAATAGATTTTGAGAACTCATCTCTCAGTATTGCTCCTCTTCGATGACTTGTGAATTTCAGTTGGAGGCTTTTTCTCTTGAAGAAGCTATTTCGTAGTGATCTTGGGACAGATTATCGAAGAAAATTGAAAAACATTTCATGTATTCTTCTAGATTTTAATTAATTTTGATTAATCTACATGATGTGCAATTTCCTCTACGTTGTGTGTTATGTTTCCAACAGATTGGTCAATAAATCACATAATCCCCTATCCTTCGCCCCGCTGTACACCTAGTTTCCATGCTCCATCACCACCTACCCGCCTCACACACCCTCACCTACCCACTCCCCCTCCTCCATCTCTCCAATCTCCACACCTCCACCTCTCTCAAAGACATGGCAAAAGGCAAATGCATCTACTTTTTCCCTCATCTTTCTCAATTTAGTTATTTCTTTTTATTTTATATAACTAGTATAGTGCACGTGCTTTGCACGAGAGCATACTTGTTTTGTTTTATGTTTTTTAAAAAAAATTGTTCGCTGCAAAATAATGAAATGACATGTATAACAATCTAAATTTTGAACAATTACAATTTTGTTTAAATAAATAAATTGAAACTGTATATGAAGAATTATATGATTAATTATTATATTTTAGATAGTTGTTATAATTTATTCATAATTTATTAAAATAATTATAATATATTAAATAATTTCTTATTTTTTAAATATAATAATATTATACATAGCATAATAACAGCTCATGAATGCAATTGAATCTTGCAATATCAATTATCAACATGATCTTCCAAGATGGTCTCTCACATCTAATGGAGTTTACTCAATCAAATCTTTATATAATTTCCTTATCTCTAGAGGAATTACATCTCCTATTTATAAAGCTATTTGGAATTCCATCATACCAAGCAAGAATCAGTTTTTTAACTGGCTTTTATTCAATAATAAGCTGCACACAAAAGACATTCTTATAGTAAAGGGTTGGCAAGGTGATTATTTATGTTCATTCTGTGGTTTGGATACTGAATGTCGTGATCATTTATTCTTTTCCTGTCCAATATCCATGCAAGTTTGGGCACACTTTAAAGCTTATTTCTTACCTTTCCAATGGCCTGTGTCTTTCATGGATCTGTTACAAAATATTGAACAGTTAAGAGGAACTGAAGGAGATTTATGGCGTTTATTTTTCTCTGTTATATGTTGGAACATTTGGATTACAAGAAGCAGGTTTATCTTTGATCAAAGAAATTTCTCTTATAAAGCTATTATCAATCAAGCTATTTCTGTTATATATGAATGGATAGGTGCAGGAAGGAGTTCAATGTGCTAAGCATTTGTCAGCAAGACTGGACTCTCAACCAATCAGCAGGGCAAGTTGATTAACAGAGATCATACATGTTACAGACCCCTTTTTTGTTATTTTTGAAAACATGTATCTAGAATATTATAAGTTGTTATGTTTTTTGGTTTTTGTTGTTAGTTTATAGAATTTATATTTCAACTTAATATACGTATGGTTGGCTTTTGTTCTTTCTTATATTTATGTCAACGATGAGTGACGGCAAGGCACACTCCTCATCTTTATGGATCTTCGAAAGAAAAAAATTATACGTCCCTATTAAGTTGAATTATACCTTCTATCTACTAACACCTGGATACATTTCAAGTCCATCTTTTGTAACTAAAACTTTTATCTTCTTTATTTTAATGAATAGAGATCATCCCTTGTTTTTTTGTCAAAAAAAATTACATAGCATAATTATAGTACCATTAGTAACTACTTTTTAATTTCATAATTAGTTTATTATATATTAGTAAATAATTTACTGAATTGTGTATATTAAATTTCAGTATAACTTATTAATTTAAAAATACTATCAAAATCATTATACTATCAATATTATTATAATTACAATAAATACAAATTGTTTTTCATACTATTATCATACTTTTAAAAGGTTAATAAGATGAAAGGTAAAAGTATTATGTGAAGATAAATTATAAATTTTTAATTAAATAACACAATCAAATAATCAAATAATTGAAAAAGTGTAAAAATATATAATTAATAAGAGGTTATATATAATTAGTGAGTGATTGATTACAACTAATGACACATTTGAAAATTACCAAACTTAAAAGGGCAAAATTGAAAATCAAAAGTCCTCTTTTATATGTAATACTGATATAGATTTTTTCTTCCATTTTTGCAGAAGCTGTTAAGAGCTCCCCGACGTCGTACGAGGAGCCGCTGAACTGCTTATCCTCGCTGATCTCTCGACGGACTCGTGCTGATGGGTCAAATAAAGACGACCACTTTGATCTAGTGTTCGATTATTTGAAGGCAAGTTAACTCCTTTGCAAGATTTTCTGTCTAAAAATTTGATTTTGATATATGGGTCTTGTTTTGATTAGTAGATATTGGAGCTGGAAGAACCCATTTCGCAGTTAAATGTGATTCATGTTGCTGGCACTAAACCGAAGGTAGAATACTTTGAATTTGTGTTTCTTACCTTTTTTTTTGGAGTTTGAGATGATTGTTGTTGTTGTAATTAGGGTTCTACTTGCACGTTTACGGAGTTGATTTTGAGAAATTGCGAGTTTCGGACTGGTTTGTTCACTTCTCCACACTTGGTTGATGTTAGGGAGAGGTTTAGAAAAGATGGGTAATGATTCATAATTTTCACTCATATTTATGAAATTTTTGTTGATTGCTGTGCTAAAGAAATTGTATTAAAGGCATAATTTGTGCACAGTGGAGTTTATTTATTTTTTGTGAACTTTGAGATTGGAAATTTCTGAGGAGAAGTTTTCGTCAAACTTTTGGTGGTGTTGGGATAGATTGCAGGTAACATGCATATAGTTGGTGCATTGTGTACTTTTATTCTTGACATCGATCTATATGTCTCGTAATCTTGTTGAATTGGTGGAGTTTGAGTCTATTTCTTTGATTTTTGCAGGAGAAAACCAATGATGACGTACTGATGTCCACTTATTTCCGTTTCCTTGCATTGCTTGGATTTAAGATATTCTCCACTAAACAGGTAAAAGGTGTTTGCCTGTTAATTATGTCAATATCTTATCAAGCCCTCGAAGATCAAGAATAAGATACTTAATGGTGTTGTTTTCTTCATGGAGCAGGTGGATGTTGCTATCTTGGAGGTTGGTCTTGGAGGAAAACTTGATGCAACTAATGTGGTAAACATTCTATACTCCATGGTGTTTCTACAAGAAATATTGAAGTTTATGATTTAGTTCAAGTTTATTAAAGCCAATCTTAACTTACTTTGAAATGCATCTGAAAACTTAGCAGTAACTGAATCTGTTATATAGGTCATGTATACAGAATTATTTTATTTTCTTGCAATGATCTTATCCATTTTGCAGATGAAGGCACCTGTTGTTTGTGGAATATCCTCCCTCGGGCATGACCATACGGAGATACTGGGTCAGTCATCTTTTAGACTGATTCTATTGATAATTCATAGATAGATAGTAGATAAACATACACGCAGACGTGTGATACATATATACATGGTGTCCGATTGAAAATGGTGTCCTTGAGAAAGATTTCGACTCAGCACGTGTAAAGAATAATTAATCAGCCACCTTACTTTCCTTTTGTATCTTTCTCTCTGTATAGGAAGTATATAATTACTTTCCTTTTATCTTTCTCTTTGTATAGGAAGTATATAATTACTTTCCTTGTATAGCTGATATGGTTTAGGTATCTTATTGTAGTTTTCTACTTTCCTTGTACATTTGTATTCTTGGGTTATTAATACCCACTTCATATCAATACAAAATAAGTCTTCCAGCCTTTACATGGTATCAGAGCAAAAACACTCTCACTAGTTTTCGATCCAATTTTTTTCCTCCTTTCTCGAAATTCGAACCCCTCTCCAATGGCTCCTATCACCGCCACCACCGAAGTTGTGCAGCTTAATGCGCCGACCCACTTTCCTATCAAGCTTACCTCCAACAATTTTCTTGTCTGGAGATGTCAGATTCAGTCAACCCTCATCGTTCTCGATTTACTCGGGTTCATCGATGGATCCACGGTTGCACCATCTCCTTTTTCCGATCTGGCCAACAAGGTTGAAAACCCAGTCTATACGATCTGGTACAGACAAGATCAAATTCTTGTCAGCGCACTCCTCGGTAGCTGCTCCGAGACGATTCAGCCACTTATTGCAAGTGCAGTCACTGCCGTCGACGCATGGACTCGGCTTAACAACAGCTTTGCCAATACCTCTCGTGGACGTATTGTTTCTCTCAAAACCCAGCTGTCAAAATTTCCCCAAGGTACTCAATCTGTCTCTACCTATCTTGCTGCCATGAACAAGATTGCTGAGGATCTTGCCCTTGCCAATAACCCGGTTCTTGTTGAAGACCTCATTTGTCATGTGCTATCCCAACTTCGGGATGAGTTTGCACCCACTGTTGCCGCTCTCCGTGTGCGAGAGACCCCTCTTACATATGCTGAGTTAGAGGATATTTTAACTGATTGTGAACGGACCCTGCAAGAAACTATTGAGAACTCCGCTACCGTTCTTCCCACGGTTAACGCCACCTACCGAACTAGTGGAAATGGTTTCAGCAACAATTCTGGCGACAACCAGAATACTGGCTTCGGTGGTCAGTTTGGCTACGGCGGCCAGTCCGGCTACGACAGGAACGGTTCCTGAGGTGAGCGACGCAACAATGGCAGATTCTGTAAGTTCTGCCAATTCCAAGGCCATGATGTTCAGTTCTGTCGCAAGTTGGAGCGTTTCTTACGTGAGAATAATTACCGAGTTAGCGGTTCGGCACCAACCGTGAACACTGCGACGTCTACAAACCCGGGTCCTAGTCAATGGTTGTTTGATAGTGGAGCCTCTCACCATGCCACATCTGACTTGGCCTCTCTTCAGTTATTCACGGAATATGGAGGTCCTGATGAAGTACACTTGGGCGATGGCACCAACCTTCCTATATCTCATACTGGTAAGACAACTATCTCTACTTCTTCTCGTTCCTTGTCTTTATCCAACGTCCTCTGTGTTCCCCGTCTTCATAGTAACCTTGTTTCGGTTTCTCAACTATGTAAAACCAACTCTGTCTCTGTTGAGTTTTTTGATTCTTCGTTCCTTGTGAAGGATCTACTCACGGGGGCGCCTCTTCTTCGAGGACAAAATAATCATGGCGTTTACTACCTTTCGCGGTCAAACTCGGTTCCCCGCCTCCATGTCACCACGACTGGTTCTATCTCTGACTGGCATCACCGACTTGGCCATCCGTCCAACAAAGTTTTGCGCCAAATTTTTAGTCGTACTAGTTTAGTCCCTTCTAGTTTGTTTGGCCATCCGTCCAACAAAGTTTTGCGCCAAATTTTTAGTCGTACTAGTTTAGTCCCTTCTAGTTTGTTAGATCAGTTTCATTGCCTTTCGTGTAATATTAATAAAAGCCACAAGCTTCCATTCTCTGTAAACACATTAACTAGCTCTCATCCCTTAGAGCTTATTTATACAAATGTTTGGAGTACAACAAATCAATCTATTGATGGTTTTTAGTATTATGTTGTCTTTGTTGATTTTTTCACAAAATATATTTGGCTATATCCTATGCGCCAAAAATCTGAAGTCTTTACTATATTTCCTCAGTTTAAAAGACTGGTTGAAAAATACTTCAAACAGGATATTGTGTCAATTTTTTCTGACAACGGGGGTGAGTTCCGCAAGCTAATTCCCATCTTTAATGCTTGTGGAATCTCTCACTTCACCACTCCTCCTCACACCCCAGAGCACAATGGTACGGCTGAACGTCGTCATCGCCACATAGTTGAAACTGGCATGTCATTACTGCACACTGCCTCTCTTCCCATTCAATTTTGGTCTTATGCGTTTCAAACAGCCGTCTACCTTATCAACCGTCTTCCTACACCCATATTACGTCACTCGTCTCCTTATCAAACACTGTTTGGTCAGCCACCCCGTTACGAAAAACTCCAACCATTCGGGTGTTTATGCTTTCCTTGGCTACGCCCGTATAATTCCCAAAAACTTCAACCCAAATCTGCCTCATGTGTATTTCTTGGTTATTCTACATCTCAGTCCGCTTACAAGTGTCTTGACCCCGTCAGTATATTCTTTCCCGTCATAGTCAAATTCTTCTCCCGCAACATTTTTCGCCTCATCACTCTCGACTAGCCGACACACGCCGGCCACCCTCCTCCGTCACCTGCGGTTCACACCCCTCCTCCGTCGCCTGGACCGTTCGCCAACATTCCTTCGGTAGAACTCCCTGCTATTCCCACTGTCCATAACCCTCCTCTGTCCCCTGGACCGACGGTTCACCCCCCTCCTCCGTCACCTGGACCGTTAGTCCATATTCCTCCCTCAATAGAACTTCCTGTCCGACCAGCTCGTGACTGTCGTCCAAATCCCAAATACTTTAATCCTCACATGGTCAATCTTACCACCTCTCATCCCCTTCCGGTGTCCATTGAGCCCAGTACAGTTACTCAGGCCCTCCGTGATCCTCTCTGGTGTGCTGCAATGGATGCTGAAATGGAGGCCCTTCGGGCCAATCAGACTTGGGTCCTTGTACCTCGCTCTTCTGCTCCTACGGTTGGCTGCAAATGGGTGTTTCGGATCAAACGCCGCTCAGATGGTTCCATTGATCGCTATAAAGCCCGACTGGTGGCTAAGGGTTTCTCTCAAGAGTATGGGCGGGATTACTTTGAGACTTTTAGTCCGGTTATGAAACCGGTGACAGTCCGCATTGTGCTTACTCTGGCTCTGTCGAGTCGTTGGTCCATTCGCCAACTTGATGTCAACAACGCCTTTCTCAACGGCACATTGCATGAGGATGTGTATATGAACCAACCTCCAGGGTATGTTGACACGGCCTGTCCCACTTATGTTTGTAAGCTTCGCAAGGCCCTCTATGGTCTCAAGCAAGCTCCTCGCGCTTGGTATTTGGAGTTATCTCGTTTTCTGGTTGATTATGGCTTTCGGAAGTCTGTGGCTGACACATCTCTTTTTATCTACCGCTTAGGTGGCAATTTGATCTACTTCTTGGTCTATGTTGATGATATTTTATTAACTGGGAATAATACTATTTTTTTGGATGAGTTTGTCTCTCAGCTGTCTCATAGGTTCTCCCTCAAGGATCTCGGTTCGCTGAATCACTTTCTCGGCATCGAGGTCATTCCCACGCCTGGTGGGCTGTTCTTGTCTCAGCAACAGTATCTTTCTGATATTCTTTGTCGCCAACAAATGACAGGTGCCAAACCGGTCACCACACCTATGGCTCCGGGCAAATCTCTCACTCTTGAGGACGGCACGGCTACAGTTGACTCCACTGAGTTTCGCAGTGTCATTGGTGCTCTTCAGTATTTGGCCATCACTCGTCCGGATATCTCGTATGTCATTAATAAGTTGTCTCAGTTCATGCATGCTCCCACTGAAACTCACTGGCAAGCGGTCAAACGGTTATTGCGGTATCTAAAGGGTACTCTCTCTCATGGTTTGTGTTAGAAATTGGGGGTGGAAACAAACCTCCGCCGGCGACGAGGAGCTCCGACGAGCTCCAGGATGACGCAGGCGAGCTCCGGTTGTCACCGACGGCAGAGGAGCTCCGACGAGCTCGAGAAAGGCGGAGATGACGCAGGCGAAGTCGGCGAACGCAATCCTTCGGTGAACGCACACTTCGGCGAACGCAGAGTTGGGCGAACGCACCCTTCGAAGTCTGCGTTCGACCCCCCATTCGAGCTCTGCGTTTTTCTCTTCGACCTCTGCGTTCGCCCCCCTTTTGGCGTCCGCGGGCAGCTGGCGACAGGCTGTCGCCAGGCCATCCACTCGCCTATAAAACCCCCCCTCCAGCCTAGGGTTTTGCTGCTGAAGTTCTTCTCCTTCCCTCCTCCGATTTTTCTTCTTCTGGCGGCGGCGGCTGCCCTAAAATCGCAGAAGCGATTTTTACATTTCCCCAATCTTCAACAGCAGTAGTTGAGGGGATTTAAGAAGAGAGAGAAGAAAAGAAAGAGGGGTTTATATTGTGGGGTATTTATTCTCAAGTGAGAATTGAAAGGGTTCATACCCTTTGATTATTAACACTGTAGCTACAGTGTTTATTTGAGAAATCTTAGTTTTGAGATCTGCTCCTAAATTGTAATTTCTTGTTTGATTAAATAAAAAATTATCTGTGTGGCTCCCGAGGACGTAGGCAGTTGCCGAACCTCGTTAAATCTTGGTGTACTTTTTCTATACCGCGTTTCCGTTGCATTAGGGGTTTAGGCGTTAAATTCCTAACAACTGGTATCAGAGAGTGAAACAATCTAGAGAAAGTCAGATTCAAGTGGGAGCCATGGCCGCAGATGAAGGGTATGAGAAGCCATCAGCCGCGAACAAAGTTCATTTGATGCGACGGTTATTCAATCTGAAAATGGCGGAAGGCGCGTCAGTAGCA